TTTTATGAAAAACATGCAGGAAAAGATGAAATTAAAAAAAATAATTTTACAAACATTTTCATTAAAATGTTTTATTTATTGACCGTCAGGGACACGAAAAATTCACATTTTGACAGAACATTGTATACAAAAAAAAATTAAAAAATGTTCTTCAAATGCTTATGCCTTATTTTATGAGAAACATGCAGGAAAAGATAAAATTTTGAAAAATAATTTTACATGATTTTTGTCAACTTTTATTAGTTTTGGACCAAAAGTTTATAGAAAAAAAATTCTAAAAATGTTCTCTAAATGCGCTAATTTTATGAAAAACATGCAGGAAAAGATGAAATTAAAAAAAATAATTTTACAAACATTTTCATTAAAATGTTTTATTTATTGACCGTCAGGGACACGAAAAATTCACATTTTGACAGAACATTGTATACAAAAAAAAATTAAAAAATGTTCTTCAAATGCTTATGCCTTATTTTATGAGAAACATGCAGGAAAAGATAAAATTTTGAAAAATAATTTTACATGATTTTTGTCAACTTTTATTAGTTTTGGACCAAAACTGATACGAAACGTTCACATTTTGACAGAAAATCTTTTAAAAAAGAATTTCAGAAAATGTGCTCTAAATGCCCTTATTTTATGAGAAACATGCAGGAAAAGATAAAATTCTAAAAAATACTTTTACATGATTTTTGTTCATTTTTTCTTTTTAGTTTTTGGCCAAAAATGACACGAAAAGGTCACATTTTTTGACCACATAACACGCAAAATTAGGATTTCACAGAAAAATTAAAAAAAACAGCTTTCTAAAAAAATTCTCAAAATGCTCTAATTTCATGAGAAACATGCAGAAAAGTTAAAATTGTGAATGTTTTTTTCTAAAAGTTATCATCAAAGATTTTCACCATCTGACAACGACACGCAAAATTAGGATTTGACCAAAAATTTCCCAAAAAATCTTTTTTTTTATTTCTGAAAATGCGCTAATATGCTGAGAACCATGCACTCAGAACAATTTTTAATTTTATCTTCTAAATGCTTTATTTTTAAAGTTATTTAGTTTCTCCCCTAGTCTTTTTCTGGTTTGTTTAACTTTTTTTCTTACAGTGTACTTGTAGAACTTTGCTGAACTTTTTTGAGCTCAACTTGACTTTTTAATGCATAGATGATTTTACAATAGCATGGTTTCTCTGTTAAACCATCTCAGATTTAACCTTAAACATTTCATAACCAACTCACATCCTCCTGACTGTGCCATTTTTGGTAGTGTATTTATTGCATCAGCACATTATCAACAATACAGTAAAGATCATCTGTTATTAGCAAGAAAAATCAATGATCAGTCTTTAAGACAGGGCGGTGATAGAGAGTCAATAGCACACAAAACAACACAGGATTAAATCACTGTAACAAACACAATAACTTACAGTACTCTCTGGTTTGATCACTACTTTTGTTGTTCCGGTACTTTAGCAGTTAGCACCAGTAAGCTATTAGCAGCTTTTAGGAGTATAAAACATTAGCAATCAGCTAATTTCAGTTTCCTAATCCTTTAGTAAAGTGTCTGTCCTGTTTTTTTAGATCTTGAACGCTTATTTGAGTCATTCTCATCAAATCTTGTTTTGTTGCTGTAAGAGATAATTATGTTGTGGAGGATGAGGAACATTAACATGTTTTGCTAGCAGAGAAGCCATGATGACTAAGGAAAAAGTCTTGATGATAAAACATTTTTCTAAATGTGGAAAACTAGCCGTATCGGTAATGATAATCAATAATGTTGCGCAGGATAAGAACTTGATTTGACTCTTTTTTCGATATCATTAACCATATGAATTGAATTAGTAATTTTTCAGTCACTTCAAAACATCCACTACAGCGTCCATTATTCTTCTAGGATATACGTACCTGTTTTCATCTGTTAAAATAACATAACAGACCAATCAGGACGCATTGCGGTAATGAGGAAGTTGTCATAAAATGTAAATTAAATTAATTTCTATATTGAAATTAGTCTTTGGTCCATGTAGAGAATTATTAGCTTTATTATAATGTTTTGTTATTTTACTAAAATGGAAATGTGTGTCATTCTGACAAATAGTGTACTAATTTGTCAGAATGATCCATTTACACATAAATTCACACTAGGATTCACACTCATGACCAGGTTAGAGTGAACAATTACCTAGTGATAGGAAGGTGCAACAGGTGGAGATAACCTCAACACACACAGGTAGAACAAGAGAACTCCATGCAGGAAAATTAGGGTTTGAACCTGTGATGTTTCTAATGTAAGGCAAGCACACTCACCACATCTTTTTGGGCTTGTTCTAATAAAGTCCTTTCAAATTCTGTTTCCAAAGGGTCCGTGGACAGGCGGCTCATCCAGTACAGTGATGCCGAGCAACGAGAAAAGCTGAAGGTCCATGTGAAGGTCATATGAATGTCGAGAGTCTGAACCCATCCAGGTTTTCCTGTTTCACCTGCATTCTCTGCTCCTCCAGCAGGGACACCAGCGAGTCTCTTTGCTCCACCACATCCAACATCTCCTCAAGGATCAGACGCTCCTCCAGCAGCTGCCAGTCCTCCTTCAGATGGTCTGAGAGACAGGAAGGAGGACAAAAGTATAAGTCCGGGTAAGAGGGTGAGGACAGAGAGACAGGAGGACACTTTAAATTCAGTGGGTCATTCTCATGAAATCATCAGTACACCATGGAGGGAATGGTTTTAGTAATAAAACATGCATTTTAGTAAAATAACAAAACATGATCGTAAGGTTAATTATTTTCTCTCTGACAAATTTCTTATAATCGCAGTGCGTCCAAATTTGTTTGAATGTCTTGTTATTTTAACAGATTAAAACAAATACATATCCTAGAACAAAATAATTGACGCTCTAATGGATGTTTACAAGTGACTGAAAAATTACTCATTAAATTTATATGTTTAATGATAATCAAAAAATAGAGGAAAAATGAAGTGTTTATGACTATTTCTTATTATCGCAGATTAACAGATTAAAACAAATACATATCCTAGAACAAAATAATTGACGCTCTAATGGATGTTTACAAGTGACTGAAAAATTACTCATTAAATTTATATGTTTAATGATAATCAAAAAATAGAGGAAAAATTAAGTGTTTATGACTCAATTTCTCATCCTCTGCTAGTTTTTCACATTTAGAAAAATGTTTGATCTTTTTTTTTTTTTTAAAGAAAAATAGACTTAAATAATGTCTTTTTAGGATCATGGAGTACAAATTTGCTTAGTCATCATGGCTTCTCTGTTGCTAGCAAAACATGCTACTGTTCCTCATCCTCCACAACTTTAGATTCCATGAGAATGACCCAAATATGGCTTTAATTGACAGAGTTTTACCGTCCACAGCCATCCTCTCTCTGAGCTCCTGCTGCAGGCGGCTCTGTCGGTCCTCCAGCTCCAGTTCTTGAGCACTGAAACATCAGACACAGGTGTAATCGGGATCTTGACCCTGTTCAACTGATCAGTCTGCTCTGAATCCTCAAAGACCTGGAGACCCTTAGGTTAAAGGTCAGACACTTACAATATCATCAGCTCCGATTCATACTGAACTAAGGAATTCTTCTGCTGAACTAACTGGAACCACTGCTGCATCAGAGCCTGGTCGTCCACCTCGCCCAGACCTGAGGACCAGAGGATGTGGACAGTTTACTCCGTACATCAAGACACAACAGAGACGAGTCCAGGTCTTCAGGAAGCCAGAGACACTTGAAGAATACTGCTGCCAATGTCATTTTACCAGTGGGTCACAAGTGTCTTAAGGAGGTGAACTAACCTCTGAGGTGAAGGTCGTCATGGGGACTGTCCTCAGACCAGTAATCTACACAAAGGAACACACACGTACACACGGTAAGTACTGTATTGACTGTACTGTTGTTGGAGATGTTTCTACATATATACATATGTATATATATATATATACACGTATATATGCGTATGTAAATATGTATATATGCGTATGTAAATATGTATATGTGTATATACAGTATGTAGGTATATATGTATATATGTGTGTTTATATATATCTATACATACATGTATATACCTGTGTAGATATACGGTACATGTAGTTCAAGATGTACCAGTAGATGGCAGTAGAAGGGAGCACAATTTTCAATATTAAACTTTAAAATAAATAATTTAAAACCACGTAAGTATTGAATGTAGTAGTATGGTACAATATACCATACTACTACATGCAGTACCTTATTAAGTACTTTAATATATCAAGTGTAAATATTTTCAGTTTATATGAACAATTCATATTTAATATTCAGCTCAGCTCCACTGTAGTTCTGTCCACTGTGGTTCTGTCCACTGCAGTTCTGTCCACAGTTAAGTACTTTAATATATCAAGTGTAAATATTTTCAGTTTATATGAACAATTCATATTTAATATTCAGCTCAGCTCCACTGTAGTTCTGTCCACAGTGGTTCTGTCCACTGTAGTTCTGTCCACAGCGGTTCTGTCCACAGTGGTTCTGTCCACAGTGGTTCTGTCCACTGCGGTTCTGTCCACAGTGGTTCTGTCCACAGTGGTTCTGTCCACAGTGGTTCTGTCCACAGTGGTTCTGTCCACTGTGGTTCTGTCCACAGTGGTTCTGTCCACTGCGGTTCTGTCCACAGTGGTTCTGTCCACTGTGGTTCTGTCCACAGTGGTTCTGTCCACTGTGGTTCTGTCCACAGTGGGTGAACAGTGTGTGTTTGTACCAGTTTCTCCTCTCAGGGCTTTCTCCACCATCACTCCTTTCTCCTCCAATTCCTTCTGTTTCTCCTCCACCTGCTGGAGTCGTCTCTGGATCATCTGTCACAGAAAAGTGTTACTGTTAAATACCTAGCGCCACCTGCTGGTGTATAACCTCACATTGTCCACCTCAGCAGGCCTGACCTGAGCCTTGTGCAGCCTCTTCAGCTGCTCCTGTTTGGCTTGTCGTCGAGCTGCTCTCTGGACTCGTCGGGTTATCTTGGCGTCCAGCTCTTCTTCCTCTGTTCGCCGCTGGAACATGTTCTCCTTCACGCTCAGACTGGACGGATCCTGTGACTCAGCAATGACACCAACCACCACTGTGGGACATGAGGACTGTCCATCAGAGTCCTGAGTTGGAAGTGTCTTCCGTCCAGAGGGTCGCTGTAACGACACAAAACAGAAGTGTGAGACCGGACAAATCAGCAGCCACGACCTCAGCAGCACCGGTGACGTGTGTTGGTACCTTGATGGCGTAAGATCGTTTAAAGGCCAAAGCGTGAGGAACGTATGCAGGCTAAGATGAAAGGCATGAAGAAGAAAGAGAGGGAAAAAAACATGTGAAGAAGAAACGATGTCGATGAGGAAGTCTAAATCCGAGTCCAAGTCTAGGTTTGGACCAAGGATGGCTCGATCCAGTACTCGGGATTGGTACTGGTCCGATATTGGTAAAAGAATTTCCTCAACATGCACACAATCGCCACGGCAACAGCAGCCCATGGCATGTTGGAAGGAAAAGGAAGGTATCGGATTGATGTCAGAATCAGACATGAAGTTCTATTGAGCCATACGTAGTTCGCAGTCTTAAAGATGAGCTTTTTAATAGCTAAAAGAACATAAAGTACTGGACGAATCAAAATCCATTCTTATGTAAACACCACATTGCTATCAGTTGACAAACTGTGATGAACACTAGTCTGGGAACTTCTAAAAGTTGACTGAAGTACTAGGAACCACTGGAACATCACTTGCAGGGGTGTCGAACATACGGCTCGTGGGCTAAAACTTGATAATTTTTTTGAATTTTCATGTTTGTGTTTTTTTTTGTCAAATTATATTTCATTAAATATGAATATTTTTCAATATACTTGAATTTTTGTTATTTATAGGTAATTATGTTACGACTGTACTGGTCCGGCCCACTGGACAGCTACTCTGGCTGTATGTGGCCCCTGAACCATCTTGGACACCCCACCTCTGTTGGTGTATATGTGAGTTCTACCACAAGTTGAATTTAATCTGTATCTAAGAATTCTGGGTAAAACGTGCTGTACCTCAGTCTCCTCCTCGTGTATTGTGATGCTGTGAATCTCAGACGTGAGGTCCAGAAGCTCCAGGTGCAGCTGCAACACAGGTGAGGTTTACAGTTCAGTTTGGCCACCAGTTACAGGTCAGTCAGTACTACGTCAGGTCAGTCAGTACTAC